CCCCCCCCCCCCCCCCCCCGGTCAGGAAACAGTGAAAGCTTCAGCCAGCCTGACCTCTCTGTCTCTTTTTCAGAAGAGCCTTCAGCACCCTCAGATCCCTTTTCCCTGAAAACCATTGAAGATGTGAGAGAATTTTTGGGAAGACACTCTGAGAGATTTGACAGGATCATCACCCCTTTCCACCGATCATTCCGAGAGTGTGAAAGAAAGAGCCTCCGCCAGCACATAGTCAGTAGCTGTCGCTTGCTGTGCCTGGCATGCCCTTCTCAGGCCAACTCAGAGCACCAGGATCCCTCTCTCTCAGTTTACTCTGAAACTTTGCTGGGTGCTGCCCCTACTGTTGGAAGTTTGTTTAAATGTTTCTCTCTAACTATAAAAGTAGTATAAGCCACTACAGGAAATGTGAAAATTATGGAGAAGTATAAAGATAAGTATGTTATCCCCAAAGGGAATCTTTTCCTAGTTTTCATGCATGTACAACTAAAAAAAGTTGTGATATCAATTCTATAATTGATTTGATAAAGTTTATATTAGCACTTAAAGCTTATTTTCCGGGAAATACGTTCTGCGAAACATTTCCCTTGCCCTGGGATGTGTCATATGTTCAGGTTTTTATGCCCTGGGCTCTCATTGTAAGAGGGGCTTGTCTCTGTCTGCTCTGTGTTGCATAGGACTCGGTCAATGCTCTCTACACCAAATGCCTCCAGCAGCTTTTGAGGGACTCTCACCTGGTAAGCAGCAGGACTTTCAAAAGAGAGAATTGCAGTTTGCCCACATGCACATCCAAGCTCTGTAACTGTACTTCTCTTGTCCTCTAGAAAGTGCTTGCCAAGCAGGAGGCCCAGATGAACCTGATGAAGCAGGCAGTAGAGGTAAGGAGGATGAGGGCAGCAGGGACTGGGAGGCTCTCCTCGCTGCCTGACACCACCCTGAACTGGAGTCTGCTGGTTTCACAGATGTACGTCCATCATGAAATTTATGATCTGATCTTTAAATATGTGGGGACCATGGAGGCGAGTGAGGTAGGTTCTCCATCATCATCCAGGATGGAAGCCTTATTCTGTGCTTTTTAAGACATTTGAAGCTTTGTTAATATCTGTTGTTAGGATGCTGCCTTTAACAAAATCACAAGAAGCCTTCAAGATCTGCAGCAGAAAGATATTGGTGTGAAACCTGAATTCAGGTAAGGGTTTGCACTGTAGTAGCTCGGTGTCCTTGGACGCTGGGTACTGTTTTCTCCCTGAAACAGGGCCTCTCAGTGGCAGTGGTGGCACACTGATTTCACATGGTTGGTACTGAGGAGCAGTGCAGTTACCTGTGACTAAAGATAGAGAGCTGGAGTCGACAGATGACTGCTCCGTGGCTGTCCCCTCCTGCACCTGTGTGCCAGCATGCCAGCTGGATAGAGCTAAAGGGGATGGGGTTTTGTACAGCTGGTTTCCAGGTGGGCACATAACACCCATGTGGGCTCTGCATGTAGGACATCTCTCCTCACCAGCTCATCTGAGGAAACCCCGCCATAGGGGCACCTGCTTTTGAGTTAAACCAAGTTTCGTTAGGGTACAAAAATGTCTAAAGTTTGTGTTTAAATTCCCCCTGCACCCGAACTTTGGGCTATTTCCCTCTGGGGCTGAGGATTTTTGGTTTTTTTCTCAACTTTCTGCTGCATCTCTGTTACCTGTCAGCCTGCATGGGACTTAAAGCTATTGTGTTTTGCCATTGACTTGAGTCTGATGACTTCTCAGTATCTATTTTTTGTTTTTTATTACTTATGATTTGTTGTAAGAAATGTATAACCTGAAAGTAGTAAAAAAAAAAAAAAAAAAAAAAAAAAAAGCCAGAGAGGAAAAATAAAGAAAAATAATAAGAGAAATGTATAACCTGAGGTATGTTATTAGGTCAAGGAATAGGGCCCTCCCACTGTGGTCTGAAGTTGTCATTTTCCAAATTATTTTACAGCTTCAACATACCTCGTGCCAAGAGAGAGCTGGCTCAGCTGAACAAATGCACCTCCCCACAGCAGAAGCTGGTGTGTTTGCGAAAGGTGGTGCAGCTAATTACACAGTCTCCTAGCCAGAGAGGTTTGTGTTGGGGAAGGGGCTGGCAAAGGGGTAGATGCATATATCTGGATGAAAAAGTCTTCTAAGGAGCAGCGTTGTTTTAAGGGTCACACAGATGGGATTTATGGTCAGCAGAGTGTTCCACTATGAGTGCCCTGGGATCTGTTTTGATGAGCAGGTTCTTAGAAGCAGGGTTAGGCACCATTAGAGGAAGAAAATAGTGATGGGGAAGTAGTAACCCCAAAAGTGTGCCTGACTTGTGGGTGGGTACATGGGGGTTCACCTGTTAGGCAAATTGCTCTTCCTGGTTTTGTATGTTTGAAATTTTCTAGTATAAAAAGTTAGACAAAACCGTCAAAGAAAAAATGGTACAACATGGATGAACATTCAGAAAACAAAAGGTTAATAAGGAGAAAGCAGATATCTGTATGTAGATAGGGGATGATCTTCAGAGTGAATTAAGTGAAATAAAGAGGAGAACATATGGTATACTTCCAACAGCATCTAAGAAAGGGGGGGACGGGCATATCATAGACCGTTTCTGTAAAGAGGAGTAGCCTCTGGGAAAGGAGACTTGGTGGCAAGGATGGGAGGGACATTCATGGCTTGCTCTTTTGTACTGTTTTAATTTTTAAACATGTGAGTGGATTACTGAAATTTTCAAAATGAAAGATAATATCAAGTTACATGTGGGTGTCAGACTCCACGTGTATAAAAGGGAAGTGACTTCAGGAAGAAAGAGGTTTTCGGTGATGGCTCTGGGCACGTCTTCACTTTGTGTCCACTGCTGTGCTTCCCTGGGCTCTTTAAACATCTAAGATGGTGACGAGGCGTGGTCTGCTTGGAGCTACATTCTTTTGTATTTATTCAGAAAATGCTGTGCTTTCTTTTTTCCCCTTAAATCTGACATTGCACAACCACATTTCTCTCTGATACATAATCTTACTGGAGTGTGGTTTGCGGGTTGGATGGCAGAAGGGTGTTGATATACTTGTCTGTCCGTTTGAGTCTTATGATGGCTTTGACCATGTGTTTCCCCCTTGCAGTTAACTTGGAGACTATGTGTGCTGACGATCTACTATCAGTCCTGTTATATCTGCTTGTGAAAACAGAGATCCCTAATTGGTAACATTTTTGTTAAAATAGTTTTTTAAAACTGGCAGCACTGTACTGTGGCAGTTTTAGTGTAACTCTAGGAAAAGCTGCCTGTAACTGTGCACCTCTTGTGAGCCAGGTGCTGTGCCTCCCCTCCCTTTGTCCTGTGGGCGTGGCCATCCTTCTATTTACAGACAGGGAAACTGAAGCCCAGGGCACTTATATTTCTTGTTCTTGAATACGGGGTTAGTCAGTGGCTGGGCGGGAACCTGACTCCAGTTCTTTCTGGCCCCAAAGCCCATCTTCTTCCCATAGGAACCCACAGCTCACTTTACAATAATCAGCTTTCTAAAAACTAGCCTGCTTCAGGGAAGTAAGAAGTTTTACTTATTTTCCTAATTGCACACACCCTGCAGAGACATGAAGGGAATAGCAGTCACAGCTCTCTGAGCTCACTGAATGACTTTAGGTATTTGATCAGTCACACAAACTGAGAGCATTGTTTTTGCAAAAGTGTTAATAATTAGGTATCCAATGATAAAACTGTTTTCTTCCTTTTGTTAGGATGGCAAATTTGAGTTATATCAAAAACTTCAGATTTAGCAGCTCAGCAAAAGATGAATTGGGATACTGCCTGACCTCAGTTGAGGCTGCGATTGAATATATTCGGCAAGGAAGCCTCTCCGTTAAACCACCTGTAAGATGTCACTCCTGCCCTGCCCTTTCTTTGTGGGTATCATGGCAACTTTGATAGGGTGTGAAAGTTGGTGGGTTGTCTTTGGGATTCACACTGTTAATTCATTAATCCCTCTCATCTTCAAAAGCACATGCATAAAAAAGGAAGCCAGAAGTGGTGAATTTGGCAAGAAATAAGATTATTAATGAGTGCAATTTTAGGATTCATTAGCCTTATTGTAGTTTTCTTGGTTGGTTGGTGAGCTTTTGGCTAGGGGAGACAATTATATTTCTATGTGAATTGTTTATATTTCTATGAGAATCTTAAACCAAAATAACATTGCTGGCCTATTTTACTACCTAGCAACCAGTAAAACGTAATAGTACTCTCAGAAATCACAAAGTTGAAATTAATAAAGTGAAGAGATTTTCTTCTTTTTTTTTTTTTTTTCCTTTTTGTCTTTTTTTTGTGACCGGCAATGGATCGCAACCCTCAGTGTCGCGCCCGTACCGGACCGGGACTGGCAATGGGATCACAACCGTCGGTGTTGCACCCGCACCTCGCTCAGCCAGTGAGCGGCCGGTCTGTTTGTGGGATCCGAACCCTCGGTGGGAGCGCCGTGGTGCTCCCAAGTGGCGCACTGTAGCAGTGCGCCACCGGGCTGGCCCTGAAGAGATTTTCTAAGAGTTCAGATCCCCATACTTGCCAGCCGCCAAAAGAAAGCCGAACCCTCGGTGGGAGCGCCGTGGTGCTCCCAAGTGGCGCACTGTAGCAGTGCGCCACCGTGCTGGCCCTGAAGAGATTTTCTAAGAGTTCAGATCCCCATACTTGCCAGCCACCAAAAGAAAAGAGATTTCTGCATTATAAGTCGAGTCCTGAGGATTGAACATTTATCTTAATCAAATTCTGATGTTAGGATCTCCCGAAGTAAAGATAAGTTACCTGGGAAACAACATAGGCCTGTCCAGACATGTGTACTCAGGTGAAAGCAGTTCCATTGAATTCATTCATTATTGACATTGTTTATATATTTTCCAGTCTTGTTCCTATCCACGTATATTTTACATAATTGTTATTATACTGTGTACTGTTTTTCCCACAAAAAAAATAGCTTTATTTTTTTCTGATTAGAAGACTAATACCTGCTTGTAAGTATTTTCTTTCTTTCTTTTTTTTTTAAAAGATGACCGGTAAGGGGATCTTAACCCTTGACTTGGTGTTGTCAGCACCACGCTCAGCCAGTGAGCAAACCGGCCATCCCTATATGGGATCCGAACCCGGGGCCTTGGTGTTATCAGCACCGCACTCTCCCGAGTGAGCCACGGGCCAGCCCAGTATTTTCAATACATAAAATTGCAGTGAAAACAACAAAAACCTCTCAGAAACTCACTAGCCAGGGGTGAATTTTATTAATGTTTTGGTATATGTCTTTTTTCTGTGCATATACAATTGTATTTTTTTTTCATTGTACATGTTTATGGGGTACAGTTTGTTGTTCCAATACATGCATATATATTGTATAATGAATCTAATCAGAATAGTTAATATATCTATCACCTAAACATTTGTCATTTCTTTATGGTTACAATATTCAAGATCCTCTGTGCTGGCTATTTTGAAATATACAATACAATATTTTTAGCTATTGTCACCAACCTTTCCCCTTCCCACACCCCCTTCCCTTTCCCTGCCTCTGGTAACCACTATTCTACTCTCTCTTTCTGTTTTCCCTCCTCTTTTTTTTTTTTTTTTTTCCTTTTTGTCTCTTTTTTACTGACCGGTAACGGGATCGCAACCCTCGGCGTTGCGCCCCGCACTGCGCTCAACCAGTGAGCGGGAACCGGTCTCCACATGGGATCCGAACCCTCGGTGGGAGTGCCGCCGCACTCCCAAGCAGCGCACTCTCCAGTGCGCCACCGGGCCGGCCCTCCCTCCTCTTTTTAATTTATTTTTCTTAATTGACCTGTGTTAATTGTGTATATTTATGGAATGCAATATGATATTTAGGTACATTCACACTCCGTGCAATGGTCATATCAGGGCACTTAGAATATCTGTCACCTCAGATATTTGTCCCCTCTTTGTGTTGGGAACATTCAACATCATCTCAACTAGCTATTCAGAAATACACAGTACTTTGTTGTTGACTGTAGGCTCCCTATATTACTATAGAACCTTAGATCCCATTCTTCCTATCTCTACAATTCTGTATCCACTGACCACACTCTCCTCATTCCCCCCATGCCCAACAGTCTCTAGTAACCCTAATCTACTCTCTACTTCTATGAGATAACTTTTTTTAGTTTCCGCATGAGTGAGGACATGAGGTATTTCTCTCTCTGTGCCTGGCTTATTTCACTTAACATAATTTTCTCAAAGCTCATCCATGTTGCTGCAAATGGCAGAATTTCATTCTTTTTTATGGCTGAGTAGTATTCCATTGGGTGTGTGTGTGTGTGTGTGTGTGTGTGTGTGTGTATCACATTTTCTTTATCCAATCATCTGTTGAAGGACATTTATGTTGGTTCCAACTCTTGGCTATTGTGAATAGATCCGTGATAAAAGTGGAGTGCAGGTGTCCCTTTGACTTGTTGATTTTCATTCTCTTAGATACATACCCAGTGGTGGGATTGTTGGATCATATGGTAGTTCTATTTGTAGTAGTTTGAGAAATCTCCCTACTGTTTTCCATAATGGCTATGCTATTTTACATTCCCACCAACAATGTGTAAGTGTTCCCTTTCTCCATATCCTTGCCAGCATTTGTTATTTTCTGTCTTTTTGATAATAGCCATTCTAACTGGGGTCAGATGATATCTCATTGTGGTTTTGATTTGCATTTCTCTGATGACTAGTGATGTTGAGCATTTTTTCACATACTTGTTGGCCATTTGTATGTCTTCTTTTTAAAAATGTCTGCTTAGTTCCTTTACCCATTTTTTAATCAGATTATTTGTTTTTTTTACTGTTGGGTTGTTTGAGTTGTTTTTGTATTCTGAATATTAGTCCCTTCCCCGATGCATAGTTTACAGATATTTTCTCCCATTCTGCAGGATGTCTTTTAGCTTCACAGATTGTCTCTTTTGCTATGCAGAAGCTTTTTAGTTTGATATAATCCCATTTGTTAACTTTTGCTTTTGTTCCCTGTGCTTCAGAAGTGTTATTCATAAAATTTTTGCCAGTCCTATGTCCTGAAGTTTTCCCCTATATTTTTTTCTAGAAGTTTTATAATTTCAGGTCTTACATTTAAGTCTTTAATCCATTTTGAGTTGATTTTGGTATATTGTGAGAGATGGGATCTAGTTTCATTCTTCTGCATGTGGCTCTCCAATTTTCCCAGCTCCGTTTATTGAAGAGGTTGTCTTTTCCCCAACGTATGTTCTTGGCTCCTTTGTCAAACATCAGTTAGCTGTAGGTATTTGGATTTATTTCAGAATTCTCTATTCTGTTCCATTGTTCTGTGTCTGTTTTTGTGCCAGTACCATGTTGTTTTAATTACCATAGCTTTGTAGTATGTTTCGAAGTCAGGGAGTGTGATATCCCCCACTTGTTCTTTTTGCTCAGGGTTGCTTTGGCTATTCATGGTCTCTTTTGTTCCATATAAATGTTTGTTCTATTTCTGTGAAGTATGTCATTGGTAGTTTGATGAGGAGTGCATTGAATCTGCAGATTGCTTTGGGTAATATGGCTATTTTGATGATATTGGTTCTTCTAATCCATGAGCATGAGATGTCTTTCCATTTTCTTGGTTCTTCTTTTAATCAACATTTTGTAGTTTTCATTATAGAGATCTTTCACCTCCTTGGTTAAATTTATTCCTAGGTATGTGTTATTGTTGTTGTTATTGCTATTGTAAATGGGATAGCTTTCTTGATTTATTTTTCTGCAAGTACATTTTTGGTATATAGAAATGCTACTGATTTTTGTATGTTGATTTTGTATCCTGCAACTTTACTGA